GCGCAATCCAAGATGAGTAACAAGTAAATAATGCCGTCCAATGGCAGCCCCTCCTTAGTTGCTGACTTCTCCCCCCATTTTCATTCTCAGATAAGGCGCACCAGAAACAAACCACACTGCCCTTCGCGTCCTCTAACTCCACCTGCACTATGACTCCCCGAGCCCGATATGTAAATGGAGCCAGGAAAAACTCTCATCACTTGGAAGCATCGAGGGGTGCAGGCTCACTAAACTCGCGAAAGATAGCCGAGTGGCGCATTGCCAATCGCCATACCAACACTCCTCTTTCCTTACGACTCCACCTCGACTACAGCGATACAGGGAGAGGAATCTCCTCTAACCGCAGCCCACTAAAACACATACAACGTGGCTCGACATCATCAGGCGACCTTTCGACACTTGGCTATGGCCCTTGAGTTTGGTGAAAAATGAGGAAAGAAGAAATAAAAAAAACATTCGAAATAATAATCTAATAATTTTATACTTACTGGTAGTACCAGTGTACTACCAGAAAATATTGTCGGTATACTGCACTTTTTCAAAGTGGTGCAGTTCTCATGTCTAATAAAACAGTCGTCTGTGAAATGTTTGGAACGAATATGATCATTTTGTTTCGGACGCCAATTCACAATATTTTAGCTTTTAAGCCATAATTTTAATCTAGGTTCACTTGGAAACTTGTTAATTAATAAACATTTGATAATCGTTTGTTGTTGGCGACTTTGTTTGTTTACAGATATGGGTAGGAAAGAACATCGATAAGTATTATAGACAAGGAACTCGACAACCCTATTGAACTTTATTGTTTATCAAAACTCAGTAATATACAGCCAAAGATGTTGGTATATATGATATTAAGATTAGTAACAAATTTTTAAGTACTTATATTATCAAATAGTTTTAATTTGTTTCATATTTGCTGCAAATTCACTTACTTGTGAAATGTTATACCACTTCCCTTTTGCTAATGAGTTTTACAGATTACGCACACTCTCATTATTAATAAAAATAATTCTTACTATGTAACTAATATTATACACAATCAAACAACATAAAATACCGTAGTAAAAGTAAAACAAAAGGGAACCACATACAGTCGTCCACTGGGGGGGGAGGAAAAAAAAAAAAAAAAAAAAGAGAAAAAAAAAAAAAAAAAAGAGGAGATAGAAAAAGATTTATTAAATAAGGCAATTTAAATATGACAACAGACTTTGGCATATTATGTCAATTTTATTTTTCAAGACATCCTTTAGCGGCGCTTCAAATTGGCACAGTCATTTTCTATGGTATAGCCAGTACAGCGTACTTGTATATATAGAGGTCAGTGGCTAAATATGAAATAATAAGCTAAGGCAATTTATTCATTACCATAACTCTGTAGCTTTCTGATTAATGCCTCATGGTGAATACAGTCTAGAACCTTTTATTCGAACGTTTGTTTCGTTAAGCTTTATGACCGGCCCATAGAAACTCCAACTTACTGAACTTTTGGGCTTTGGCAGTTACTTCTGCTAATGCGAATGTCGTTGCCACTGATGTTATCTACAAAGAAATTCTGAGTATAGCCCCCTGCATAGCTGACTGAGTGATTTTAAGCTTCAGTCAGACGCAAAGGCCTATGTCTTAACTCCAGCCGAATTAAACAAAACGTGGTTAATTGATAATCACAAAGTTAAGGTTTAATTAGAGTCGGTTACGTCATCAGTCTTCACAAATTTGACTGCTTGTAGATTAGTGCGATGCTCTGGTAAGATCTGCAGCATATCTATGGATGCATGTTTGCTAAGGGGTGACCTATGTTTAGCAGATGACTTCAAGGGCTACTATAATGGTGATGATGATTCCTAAGTCATTGATATGCTAAATCATCGTTTTTAACTAGCACGATTAAGTACAATCGATTTTTTAGCCCCAAAAGATCGCCTAACCATAAAATGTGTTAAGTACCTTATCCATTAACCGTTTGATGTAAAAATAAGTCCGATTTGTTTGACGAAATTAATTGACAGTCGATGCTAGTCGATTCATTGTGATGAGCGTTAAACACCTGGCTAAGGTGCGGCCATCACGCACGAGACACATAACCATTTCACATTGAACTTCTCCGCCCCTCCGGATTTGAAACCGATAGGGTAAGGAAGGAGCAGATGTTAGGATCATTAAGGGTCAACCGCTTCTAGTCGGGGGATACTGGGATGATCGATTCAGTTTAGTAAAAGATTGGGGTTGAAATATAAATAATGGGCGAATTGCGGTAGGAGCAAAAATGTGTTGACCTTTGCCACAATATAATGTTTACGCATTACTTTAGCGTAGGTAGTTTTATTTCTTATTATATGTATGAATATTAATTACTTCTTATAAGGGTGACAAACACGCACACAGTCAATCCGATCCGTCTACATTTATCCTCAAAGAATCAAAATACAGTTTTTACGCTGGTATTCTATGAGAGCGTGGTCCTTCCCTGGTCGAGCCAACCTATCCGTGTTACAACCAGAAACAGCTGCAGCATGGCTCTACCACATAAAGATCTGGTCAGACATTAAAAACTCAAACTGGTACTCAAAGCGTAAAAGATACTCACGTAAGGTAGCTATCGTCAATCCGGTTGCTGAGCCTGCTGAGAAATTGGCTGCTCGTTAAGGCAGGCAATTCCTCTTCACAAAGAGAGCTAGACCCAACTTTGGACATTTACAGGCTAATGAAGAAAAAGAGACGGACTGTACATATTAAATGACCGGTAACGCACCCGCAATTTCCCTAGTTAAACGGTTATTTTTTTAAATAGAATAACGGTGACAAACGAGCACACAGTCCATCTGATAGTAAGTGGTTGCTGTGTGGAATCTACATCTATCCTCGATTACGATTCAAAATGCAGATGCGTTGTCACCCGTGATGACTAAGGTTGAATGCCTCGTTTCCAGTAAAAAGGGTCTCCGGTTCTCTACAATCACCATACGAAACACAGCAGCATTAAGCTCGCGAGCGTCCCAGCTGCACCCCACAGCATGACTCTACCATTTAAATTTGTAGGCATCGGTATTCATTTACATTTTTGAGTTTGATGCCCGTTTCCTCTACTTCCATAATAATGTGCTATTACTGTGGTGCACATAGGTTCCCATTTAAAACCAATGTCAGGCTCTAAAGTCTAACTTTAGACTGATATGAATATCTATTTGCTTAGCCGTGAGACAATGAGTTTTACTTGTGCATAACATTGCCCTATTTGATGTTTATTAGTTAATATCCTTTACGAAGCCATGAAGCCGGAGCCGCGGTAGCTCAGGGGCTAAGTGCTAGCTGTAAATTTCACAATGAAATGAAATTGTTAATTGCAATTTTAAGTAATGATTTACCGCTCGGAGGTGAAGGAAACATCGTGAGGAAACTTGTATGTCTGACAAATAAGAAAAATATATTTTGAAGTTCGCCAACAAATTGGGGCAGCGCGGCGGACGTTTCTTTGCCCTAAAACCCTCTCTGAAATGAGAAGAGGCTTCTGCCCAGCAGTGGGACGTATATAGGCTAACTTGTTTATTATTTAAGGGACACTTGTTTTGTTTTTATGAATATGTGATGCGTTGGTGGTTTGGTCATGTACTGAAGTGAGGAAATTGTAACAAAGCAAATTTATGTTGCATAAGCTAATTGTCAGGATCGTGCCAAATGGTAAAGTGTACCTATTGTGCCCTCTGCGTGACAAGCGTGGGTATTTATTTATGTCTTTGTTATAATTTATATATGTATGTATAATTTTTTTTTAATTTATTTTGTGGCACTATAAATAAATGATTACTACGTTTTTTAAGTACCTAATTATTACCAAATGAGGAAAGAGAAATTTATATTATTCGAAAGGCTATATATGTGCACAAAATAAAAATAAATGTGTAAATGTTCTTCGATACTAGTAAGTATACCAATTGGTAAGTAGTACATATTTGAAAACAGGATAATGTCATCATCATCATCATCATTACAGCCCTTCACAACTCTGATCTTCCACTGCTTCCACTGCTAAACATAGGCCTCCCCCAAGGTATGCCACAAAGCACGGTACTGAGCCACCCGCATCCATCGACTTCCTGCATGTCTTATCAGGTCGTCACTCCATCTAGGGGGGTCGCCCTACATTTCGCCAAGCGGTACGAGGCTGCCACTCGAGAACCTTTTTTCCCCAACGGTTGTCGTTTCTTCGAGCTATATCGCCGCCCCATTGCCACTTCAGCTTACTAATCCGATGGGCTATGTCGGTCACTCTGGTTCTACTGCGGATATCCTCATTTCTAAGTTTATCACGCAGTGAAACCCCGAGCATAGCCCTCTCCATAGCTCGCTGAGTGACTTTGAGCGTCCTCACACGGCCAGCAGTGAAAGACCACGTCTCTGTTCCGTAGGTCATCACTGGCAACACGCACTGGTTGTACACTTTAGTTTTCATGTTTTGAGGTATACCTGACGAGAAGATGTGTCGTAATTCCCCGAACGCTGCCCAGCCGTGTTGAATCCGTCGGTTGACCTCTCGGTCGAAGTTGGACTTACCCAATCGGACTATTTGTCCCAGGTAAACATACTCGTCAACAACTTCGAGCTCAGTGCTCCCAATAACAGGATTATATAATAATACATGTAATTTTACGAAATATATCGCGTTTAATTTAAATTATTTTAAATAAAAATAATAAAAACGTAGGCACGTTTCGGATGTTTTACAGCATCCATGGTAATGGGGGTAAGGGGGGACAACTTATTAAACTTATTTAAAGTAAGTTAAATTAAACGCGATAAATTCCGTGAAATTAGTATCTTTCAATGTCGAGTTTTCGTATAAATTTATGTAATAATTAAACAAAATATATTCTTAAAACTCTTTTAATAATTAATAGCTTTCAATTGAAATTTCAATTAAAATCCACAGGATTCAAAACCCAATAACAACTTAGAAACCGACGAAATCAAAACAGACTCTAAAACATGGACTAAAAATATTTTTAATAAACCCTTGGTATAGGTGGAATGGTTTGGATCTCGTCATCCAGCGTCTTGTCGATGACGGGCCGGTACGTGATGGTCACTTTGCCGGTGCTCAGGTCTACTGTTGAGAGGCTGTGTTTTCTCCAGTGCTGTTCGATTGGCTTAGGTGTCTGTGATTTGAAAATTAATGTTAATGCAACGAAAGAAAAGTGTTTTTGTGATTTATGAACAGCATTTATTGTATGTGTATGTGTATGTTATCGCTTTTTTAAATATTATAAATTAATTAACTAAGATCCACGTAATAAAATAAAATGATGTATTACATAGCTTAATGTAAGACAGATCGTTTTATTTTTTATAGTATTTTTTATACAATCAAAAAAATTATACAGTATTCCACGAAGAAATAAAAAATCATAAAAAATTGAAAGAATAATTACAATATTATTAGGTATTAATTACTATTATTGTTCTCCATTAGACCTTAAGGTTGTGGCTGAGCCATCTGCGCAGGTCATTATCATAGTGTACGAATGTATGCGTGCACAGGTGCACTCTATATTCTCTCATTCATAGTTTGATGGGACAGTAATGTGATAGGACCGAAGAGAGATCAGGTGGTGCAGGACCAGAGATTTTACCTTAATTCCGTGGCACGGAGACACCGTCAACTTCCTATGTACTGAGAATAGATTGACAGAATAATTCATGAGCCGATTTTTGGCCCAACCTGGATTTCTTATCTGGTACCTTATAAACAGCAGTCGCGTTTACTGACCACTAGACCAAAATTACAAACACTAGATCAACTAAAGATATAGGATACGGACCATAAGATTGTAGAGAGGAAAAAAAATCGTACGCAGAAAGTAGCCCTACCCCCAAACACTAGTAAAAGCAGTTATTGTATGTATTTTGCATCAGAACATTAATAAAATAATATTTGCTATATTTAACTTGTATGATAATGATTTCTTAAATTTACGCTAACACTACACATTGAATAAAACTAAATTTACGGACTATATCGCGTTTATTTAACTGATTTTACTTATTTTTAAATGACTATAGTTGCTGTAAAGCACCCGATACGTCGGGAATTAAAAATAAGTAAAATCAGTTAAATAAACGCTATATAATCCGTAAATTTAGTTTTATTCAAACTTGTATGATGTTATTTGCTGCAGTTATTGATAGCGCGGTTGGATAGATAAATATGCCTTGCAATTGTATTCTTTATTTACTACTGTTACTGTTTTCAGACAAATACAACAACTGCACACAAACAAAGACCACAAAACGTAAAAACACAGGGGGTCCGAAAAAAAAACCCCCGCCCATTCGACTAAAGGAGTTACGGAGAATTGACCGAACTTAGTGCGCCATGTATATATATATATATATATATATATATATATATATATATATATCATTACAGACCTTCACAAGTCCTCTGCTGAACATACGTCTCCCCCCAAGGTATGCCACAAAGCACGGTCCTGAGTCACCTGCATCCATCGAATTCCTGTATGTCTTACCAGGTCGTCACTCCATCCAGTGGGGCGTCATCCTACACTGCGCCTACCGGTACAAGGCTGCCACTCGAGAACCTTTTTTCCCCATCGGGTGTCGGTTCTTCGAGCTATATGGCCGCTCCATTGCCACTTCAGCTTATCAGTCCGTTGGGCTATGTCGGTTACTCTAGTTCTACTGCGGATATCCTCATTTCTAAGTTTATCATGCAGAGAAACCCCGAGCACAGCCCTTTCCAAAGTTCGCTGAGTGACCTTGAGCGTCCTCATACGGCCAGCAGTGAAGGATCACATCTCAGATCCGTAAGTCACCACTGGCAACACGCACTGGTTGTATAATCTAGTCTTCAGGTTTTGAGGTAAACCTGACGAGAAAATGTGTCGTAATTTCCCGAACGCTACTCAGCCGAATTGAATCCGTCGATTGACCTCTCGGTCGAAGTTTGACTTACCTAGTCGGACTATTTGTCCCAGGTAAACGTACTCGTCAACAACTTCGAGCTTAGTGCTCCTAACAATTACCGGCATAGGTGTGACATGAACCTTAAATTTGATCTTTGTTTTGTCCATGTTCATATTAAGACCTATCCGTTGGGAGATATTATTGAGGTCATTGAGCATAGTGCTTAGGTTCTATAGCGATTCTGCCATAAGGACTATATCATCGGCAAATCGAAGGTGTGTAATGTACTCGCCATTGGTGTTAATACCGTATTCTTTCCAGTCCAGTAGCTTGAAAACGTTCCAATGCAGCGGTGAAGAGTTTCGGGTATATTGGATAGGTTTTTTTACAATCTAGCTTTCAGGTTTTGACATATATATATATATATATATATATATATATATATATATATATATATATATATATATGTGTGTGTGTGTGTGTGTATAATATAAGTAGTAATGTAGTATACATAGATAAAGTTTTTGTATTTATTACCTGGTCATTGGTCGGCTTACTGTAATCCATCTCGTCGATTCTCTTAGGGAAGTCGTCTCTGAAATGGGCGCCTCTGCTCTCTGTCCTGTTAAGGGCGCAGGCGACAACTTGTACTGCAGTCTGCAGCATATTTTGCAGCTCCAGCGTTTCTATCAGATCAGTATTCCAGTTAAGCCGCGTATCTGTCACGTGGATCTGCTCGAACGCCTTGTACCATTTCTGAATCTCTACGTTAGCTGTAGATATGCACAAAATGTATCACTGACAGACTATTTTTTCGGAGTCAGCAATCATAAAGTAATAAGTGTTAACACCAAAAAATATATAATTTAATTACCCTCATTCAGCAACTTGGCCTCCCTGAAAACGCCACACTTGTTCTGCATGGTAGTGCGCATGCTTTCGCGTAGTTCGTGAGGCTTCACGCAACCCTTGGAGTTTTTCACCTTGTCCAGATTGTCCAGAGTTCCATCGCATAAATTCTGTTCAATATTCATTGCTGTCGTTAAGTACAATGGTAAAATGATATCGTGTAATTTGCTTACTTATTTAATTCCCGCGTTCAAAACCCCATCGAAGCAAAGTATTTGAGCATAAAATCAAGATCTAGATTATCGAATCTAGTTGTTTTCTCATAGGAGCAAGGGAGCACATAGTACACCAGGAGTTAAGTTATTTTTAACTGCCTCGTTGGTCTTGGGGTCGTAAACCAATCGTGAGGTTCTGGGTTCGTGTCCCGGGTCGGTCGTCATTAATTGGATTTTTCTGCCAAGAAATCCTCAGCAGCAGCCCAGAGTCAGGAATTTGGCAGTGTTTCCCCCCCCCCCCCCCCGTACCTTAGAAAGCACGTAAAGCCGTTTGTCCTGCGCCTGATTTCTCTCCGGTCATGTTAGATTACCGTTACATCGGACTATAAGAGTGAGAGAATAGAGAGTGCACTTGTACTTGCATTTCTACTGGCACTCGTGCACTATAATACTCTTATGCGTAGATGACCCCCTCTCAAGACTCCCTCTGGATTATATTTAAATAGAAAAAAGATGTTCTTCTGATTATTACTACTTTCTATTTAAATCTGATTTTATTATGAGTTTTGTTCCTCGCATAACTTTTTGTGGAATCTTCTCGACCGATATTACTTAGTGAGTATAAAGAGACAACTCCTTTTAGAATTGCCACAATCATTACGTAACTACGAATGAAACTGAGTTGTAATCATATCGCGTTTAATTAATTTAGTTTTATACTTAGAGCATATATAAGCTAGGTTTTTTTAAATTTATTAAGCATAATTTTGTTACATTATCCAGTACAATGCTAGCATATAAACCTCTAGGGGTTTATCTACGCTAGAGAGTCGTCTTATATAAATTATTTATTATTTAGTTGTTTATGTATACTCTAAGGTTTTATATATTTTCATACTCCTGTTAAGGGCAATGACGACACATTTGCGTTTTGATTCTTAATTAAGGATAGGTGTAGAAGTTTATGGGCCAAAACATTCACTTCCTATCAGGTGGGCGATTTGTTCCTTTACTTGTATATAAAATAAAATATTAGATATAAAAAAGCTTAAATAATCCGAAAGCGAAAGAACAAGAGATGTTGGTATGATCCAAGAAAAAATACTAGGTCATATCCACGAATTTATTGTATTGTTATCGGTTCTATACACGTCTGTAAAGTTTCAAATTTTACAGTGTATCTATGAAAACCGAATTATAAAATGTCATTCGAAAAAAACTTCAAGATGTTTAAAATTTTGAAGTGGTAAAACTTCTTTAGCGGCGTTGTACACTTTTTTTGCAATGGGTAAAAAATGTTAAAATCGCGTCAGGACACGTGACCTGATCGAAAATTCGTAAGACGGATGGAGAGTAGACAGCCGGCGCGGCGTAGGAGAGGAAGTATCCCCCTCTCTTTCTACGGCGCGGCGAAAATGTATGCCTGCGCTTGTTTTCTGAGAGATAAACTTTTTAATGTAATATAAATTGTCATGTTTGTGTACGATGGCGCAATAAATAAATATTGTATTCTACCACATAAATAACTTTCATACTGATAATTAAAGCAATTCGTGCAACATTATTCCCTAACCATTCCAAAATATCAAAAATGCCCAACGTTAATATTCAAGGTTTCACTTCCGCCGGCACCCCCAGAGTGCAATCCGTCGTTTTTTTATTTTTACTAGCTATCCACCCTAGCTTTGCCAGGATAAGATCTATTAGTGTAGTGTTATTTTTATTTAAGATAAACAAAGATCATTTATTATCAAATTTTAGTTTTTTCAAAAAAAATCTCCAAAGTATTTAGATAAAACATAGCCTTAATTCTTCCTGGCACTTCTCTCGATCTACTCATAAAGTTCAATCACAATCGATTCTGTCATATCGAAGATGAGCCCGAACAGACAAAAAGACAGACAAAAATAGGTTATTTACGTCATAGTAACATGTTAATTACCCCTGAGCTTAATAGAAACCAGCTACTTCAATATTACAAACTGACTTTAATTTTATTTATATTTATAGATAATTTTAAACTTCTTTATAAAATAGCTTACCAGAAAAATTTCCGTACCGATACGACTTTCAAGTAAAGAGCCCATTCCTTTTAAAAAAGGCCGACAACGACAATCGTCACTTATCTTCAGGTGAATCGCATACTAGTTTACCCTCACTTTTATACAAAAGGGCGTCCTGTTTAGACATTTATTTTTATAATATAAGAATCAAAATTGCTTATCACCTCTGAGGACTAAGGTGGCATGCCTCTTTGCCAGTAAAAAGAGTACCCGGTTCTCTATACTCACCATACGAATAAACATTATGGTGTATACGCTGGTATTCTGTGCGAGCGAGGTCGAACCGATCCGTTCTTGCTGCACCCATAACGAACTACTCTACTACGTGGCTCTATCACGTACTAAAGTAATGCGTTTCATTCGCCCTCAGTCACTTACTAGGGTTTTGTTCCAGTACCAAAAACGCCAGAGATCATAAACCTGCGTGATCTCAAAAGTTTACGACCTAACAAAGATACAAGACACTTGGTGCGTTTGGCAGAAAAAAGCGCTAGCAAGCGCTTACAAGCGATGAAATAGTTTTCGGCCAGGACACGATTGCTACTTCAGTAGCGCTGACACAATCCGCCATTTTGCTTATTAATTTTGTTTGTTTTGAAGTAGAGTTTATGAGTTGTACTGTGCAATATTAGTTTTAAGTACCTAATATAATGACATGAATAAACATATACATGTTATTAAAAATTCATGATTGGTAAGTTATTAATATGAATATTTTACAAACATATATTTAAATTAGGTTAGGTTCCCCGGTTGAAACTAACATCGTGTCCTGGAGGAAAATAGCTACTTACGACTTGACAGCGCTTACCGCTTACGATCGCCATTTTGCTTACAAACGCTTGCTAGCGCTTTTTTCTGCCAAACGCACCCACTGTTTTTAATTTATTTTTATTTTTGTGTATAGTCTCCTAACTCTCCATACTTATTCCAGCGATTATCCCATCTCTCTAACCCTTCCAAATAGCACTCAGCGTTTTTCTTTACAAAATAATTGTTAACGAAGTTGATTGCCTCCTCATTTCACGAAAATTTCTGTCCTCCGAGCACAATTTTCAGATGAGGGAACAAAAAGAAGTCGGTTAGGGCTAGATCAGGTAAATAAGGTTCGAAATTTAATTCGTGTGTTTTCGCCATGGCAAGATGAGGTGTGAGCCGGCGCGTTGTCATGGTAAAACAGGATTTTTTTATTCTGCTAATGTGGCCGTTTTCCCGCAATTTCCGCCTTCAGTTTGTCAAGTAATGATGTGTAGTATGCTCCTGTAATGGTTTTTCCTTTTTGAAGATAATCGATTAAGATAACTACATGACTATTCAAAAAAAAACAGTTCCATCACTTCCCAGCCGAAAAACCAGCTTTTGCTTTTTTGGAACCGGTTCCCCCTTTGCAGTCCACTGTTTTGACTGTATTTTTGTTTCGGGCTTACGCCCGATATACAATGTTATTCAGCTTTCATCTACAGTAATTGATCTGCGCCAATACTCGGATTTATTGCGCGTTGGAAATGTTCACTCTAACATTTGGTCTAATATGAGTAAACGCGGCACCCAGCGCGCTGACAGCGTTCTCATGCCTAATCTCATATCTTGATTTAATATGTGACAAACACGTTCTTTGGACACTTTCATAGCCTCTGCTATCTCTCTCACTTTAATAGGGCTGTCGTCTATCACCATTTGGTGATGTTATTTCGCACCTTCATCGCTGTTATCGTCAGTAGTTGCAGTGTTTGGTCCTCCAGAACGTTCATCGTCTCCCAAATACCACGTATAATTCTAATATAAATTCAGCCAGTATAAATTCAGCTGCCCAAAATTTCCTTGTGGCAAATGATAGTGCAGAGTCCAACTCATCTTTGATTTGCGTAGGTGTATTGCCTTTCAAAAACAAACAAAAACATTCACATCGACCTTTCTCGCTCAAACGACTATCAAATAACAACTACGCATCCAAAATGGCTGAAATATTGGTGCGTTACTGTCAAAAGTTGCACAACTATATTCACTAGCTTTTATTAACGAGTATCTTCGCGTTGAGTTCGGAAACTTTTCAGATCACCCTGGTATTTGCGAATAACAATTTAATTTAGTAACCTACGATCCTACGTTTACTTTTTATCTCACCTCTATTCTATTATTCAAAAGAAAACGAAATTTTTCGAATGCTTGAATTTGAAAAAAAGACTCTTGCAGAGACACAAGAGCCACATCAGTACTACATGCCTCCAAATTGTACGTAATAATCATTATTTTTATTACAACTCTTCGTAAATCTTACACTGAACATAGGCCCATCCAAAGAATGCGCGAACAAAGCGCGGTTGCGAGCCACACGCATCCATCGATTTCCCGCATCTCGTATCAGGTCGTCACTCCATCTAAATCTCCATAAAATATAATTCGTTTACCGGTACGAGGCTGCTACTTGAAAACATTTTTCCCCAACAGTTGTCGGATCTTCATGGTTCCCCAGAAAGTGATTAAATAGATGAAGCGATGAAAAATCTTACGTCTCTAAGTTCCGGCTGCTTTTCACCAGGCTTATGCAGCTGTCCAATATTCTTGCCGATGGCCGTGCCAAACACGACGACATCCAGAATGGAGTTGGCCCCAAGCCGGTTGGCACCGTGACAGTTGCTGACTGCCTCGCCAGCAGCATGCAGTCCGGGGATAACAGAGTCGCATTGATTGTATATAAGAGCCTGAAAAAGTCAAAAAATATTTCAAGGCCGATGTACACGCTAAGTTAAGAATAGCGGAATAGTCGCCATGAGTTGAACAGCTAAGGAGGGTAGTAATATACGGGGGAGGTGGAAAAGCAAGGGGTTTACACTTCACCAAATCTAAGAAATACCTTTTGACGTTACACATTATTCATTTCGCAATAACTTTATTGTACAAAGGCAATCACACGGTTCAAAATAACGGTTTACGGAAATCCAACGAAATAATGAGGTTATCTATATTTCATTACATGTATGTGTGTGTTTCATTACACAACCTCTTTATCACTAATTTAAATTAAAATCTTACAAAGCAAATTGTAAAAAAAAAATAACCAGAATCATTGAAGTAATATGTACTTACGTACTAGAACAGCTTTCTCAAACAAAAAAATGTGCGCTACTCTGTGTTCGCGCGGTTGGTATTTATCACAGAATAAACATAGGTAGAATGACCCGTAGGTAATAGTAGATTGTATAGTTATAAAAGTAAATTATATTGAGTACATTTTTTTATTTTGTCATTTATTTGTACATTACAATTGCTTATTTAATATAATATTACATAATATGATATCACAATTACATTTTAATGATATTTTTATCTCAATATTTTAAAAGGTAACTATGTCAAATACAAAAAACATACTAAATGTATGTTTAACAAAACTTATTAACGTAACATTTAAATTACAAATGCATTTATTTAAATTAGAACAAGAGTCGTTCATAAACGCTGGGCACGGACTTTGAAGTGGAGAACTAAAAATAAAATAAAAGAATAATAAGCAGATTTAAACATGAAAAATTAAGCCTAATTATGATAACTTATATATGTTTCTACAAAAAATGTGTATAATAATATATTCGTCCTATACTTGAGTACCCACAGAAATGTCGCATCTGAACATATTAATTTCATAATCTATATTCCATGACGAATATCGAGATCTTAGGAATAATTTCTTTTATTATTAATCTATAACACTTTTTTATTGAATATGTATCATGTATCTTATTAACTGATGAAAAGTAATTCCTTGATTTTTACTGACATTTCTTGAATTATTTGTGCAATATCTAAGTACACACGACGGCATATTTTTATCAAGAGATTTTTTTTTAAATCAACACAACACGTGACAACTCTACAAGCGCCTAGCGAGTGACTGATTAAAGTGCGGTGTAAGCACGCCTGTGTATGTGTCGCCCTCTAGTACGTAGTACATAACAGCTCAATGACCATAATCAAATTTTCGCTTGACGTTGTTTCAATGATATATCGTTATGTACCTTAGATAAGTGGTAGAGCCACGCTGCTGCTATATATTATGGTTATTGCGCGAATGGGTCGGCTCGACCGGGGAAGGACCACGCTCTCACAGAATACGAGCGTGAAATAGCAGCTCAATGTTGCTGTGTTTCGTATGGTAAGTGTAGAGAACCGGAGACCCCTTTTTAACTGCAAATGAGGCCTACTCAGTCCTCAGGGCTGACAACACATCTGTATTTTGATTCCTAATTGAGGATAAATGTAGATGTCTACGTTAGCATCCACTTACCATTTGGTGGACGGTGTGCTAATTTGTCACCCTGGTTCCACAAAAGAAGATACCGTAGTGTTTGAATGATTCAAATTGATGTTTTTATTGTTATGTTTATGATGTTGTTATGTTTATGTATATGATGTTAATGCGAATAGGTTAAGATATTTAAAACATAGAATACTATAATACACAATAGAATGGCTGTCAACTTTATTTTTGGTTCGCTAGGTTGACAGACTGAATAAATTTACACATTTTAGACTTTTAATAAATGTTCAAGATCATCATTAAAAAATCTTTTAAACTTTAATACATATTTATTTGTAAATAGCGTGCAATTTGGAATTTTTTTAGAATAATTTGCATGCGAAATTTGGAAACGATTGTAACGTCAAAACACATCTCGTGTTGATATTTATACGTGTGAATTGACGTGTTAGTGACATTTTAGTGGCTACGCGGGCTCCGCCCACTCCTATGTTCTATGATTTAAACAATCAAACCATTACATTTTTAAATTTTTTATTTGTTTATTTAAATTTTTATTTTTAGAGTTGCAAAAATTATATGAACCATAAGTCTAATTTTTATACAATTTATGGCAAAATTACAAGTAGGTTTAGAAGATGCCGGCTTGTACAATGGTAGTATAGAGTAATTAAGAACCCATGTAAAAAGAAATTGGCTTCCGAAACAAAAAACATTGACAAGCGCAAACTAATTATTTAGAGGTATGAATTCAAGGAATAACATTTTAACGAGAAATTAATAATATAAGCAGTCGGGACAACTTTATATTCATTGGTGAAATATGGCTGAAGGCCAACCCCACTGTGCCCAGACATGGACAGATGACACGCGGCCGTGAGAAAAGGTGGGCGCCTCATAATTTGCTCTGTGGTATTCTCCACCGGAGAAGGAATTGTAGGAAATACACAAGGAATGACTGGGACAAAAGTGATGGAGAAAACAAAGAATGTGCTCCCTTGTCACCCATTTACCATTTAAAATAAAACGATGAGTGAACAAAGCTTAAGTCTGTTAATATTATGGCAACACAAACAACAGCAAGCTTATGGATACTTGCAAGCAATTTTGTACCAAGAAGCTCACACGTGCCATGTCACCCTTTAGTACAAAGACAGAATGCCTCACAGCCTGTAATTGACCTGGCTCCTACCCTTCAACGTGAACTACGCAGCAGTGGGTGGACTGATATCGTTCAAGGTAGAAACAGGTAAAAGGATTGTACTTTTCCAGACGAACACCTAGACAAAAAAATTATTAACCACCTTGTAAATTATCTTTTACGTAAGAGAACTTTCCAGAAATATCCACCCTTCAACGAAAGCATAACTTAAGCGAAACGCAGACTTTCAAAGGAACTATTTAGGAGTATATTCGCTGCCGGCACAGATGCAGGATGCGCATTGTTAAGACTCAATCGTTATTGCATCAGAGGAGTTAAGAAGTGCTCTTATATTCAAAAGTTAGGTTTAGATAGGAGATTTACCTTTATTAAATAGTTATATTTAAATAACTAATTTAAATGTAACTATTTAATAGCCGTTATATAATTATAGTCGTGGTAGTTAAAGGGCTAAGCGCTCACTATAAATTTCACAGTACCCGAGCAACCCGGCTTCGACCCGGCACCAATGGAATTGTTAAACACAATTTTAAGTGCTGATTTACCAAGTGCTCGGCGGTGAAGGAAAACATTAAGAGGAAACCCGTAATCTGAGAAATAAGGAAACATTATTTTTCGAAGTTACGTGACTGACAACACGCATGCACAACGGCAGCGCGGCGGACTTTTCTTTGCCCTAAAACCCTCTCATAAGTGAGCGAAGGTCTGTGCCCAGCAGTGGGATTTATAAAGGCTGTAACTTAATTTAAACAATATATATGAATTTTATCCTATATAAAATCCTACCAGTTACTCCAGATAATAAAGACACGGCGTGGAACTAATTTCTTGACGATAAACTCAAGACAGCTGCTATAACATCGTTGTATCACGAACGGGTCAGCTCGACCGGAGAAGGACCACGCACTCACAGAAAACTAGGCTATTTGGTACGGGGAACTCTATTGTGAGTAGAATACAGGCCATAATATGATATTTTTGGCGTATCCCGTAGTCGCTTTTTACGATTTTTAAACGAATCACACATCACGCAAATACGATAAGATTCGGGTTGCCACCGGCAATTTATAATATATTGTAAACTATTTCGGACAAGTATGAGACCTTTATAAGACCAGTAAAGTACGTAAAACGACTTTCAAGGTTTTATTTTAATGTTTACTAAAAGAGTGAATTATATACATATATTACTAAAAGGTCTCAATGATACATGACGAAAACCTATTTAAGAATATATATATATATATATATATATATATATATATATATATATATATATATATATGCGCAAGGAAATAATTTTGATTTTGATTTTGATTTTGGAATAATTTTGTACTTTAATTCAAAATCGTGTCATTTCTGCTATCCATCGTATCACTTCAGCGTTATTTACCATTACTGCCGAATATAGGTCTCCCCATAGATTGCCTCATAAGGGGGACATTGGTCTTAGTTGAGAGTTGGCAACCGCAGCTTTTTATTTTAGTAGTTATTAGGAAGAAGCTGCTGATTTTTTCCCTCTTTCACCTCTTAAGGATATGACTCATACTGCCACTACACAGTAAATTCAGCGCTATTTACCAGTTTTACCTTTAATTAATACTAGGGGGTGAGATAAAAGGAACATTGTTGTCTTAACTTAGGCATAGAATGTAGATAAAAAATAATGTGTGTAAAAAATAGCATGTCCAATAAATAATACTTTTATTTTCACTTAGTGTACTTACGTACTTTAGATTTTTAGCTTAGTAGATAAAATATAGAATACTTTATTTACATAAAAGAGGTGGCAACCCTAGATAATATATCTGTATCTGAGCGCATATCTTCCATTATCGCTCTCTATGAAATTCAATGAACTAACAAAGACGTCGCAGATGATTTATATTTTATCGTTAAGTATCTGTAAGCACCGACATATATCAAAAGATGGTGACGATATCATCTGCTCGTACAAATATTTCTGCATCAAACATCTACAGACACAATTAAGGCATAGGATTTTACCTGCGGATAAATACAGAATAGTCGCTGAAAAAGGCCTTTTTAAGCTTTATATGACGTTCTATACAATTTCTTCTCATTTTAGGAAATGATAATGCAACACGTGAATCAAAAATAATCCTACTCTGACGAGGTGTCTAGCAAATCCAGAAGAAATATACGCCAAATCATCGTAGGTAATACTGTATAAACAATCCGCTACAAAAAACACGTCTAGTAAGTTTGAATGATTTCGAGTGAACTTATTATTTCGTATATTATCGTAACTGCGTAGTGCACATTTGCGATAGCTTAACACGCTAATTGCCCTTTTTTTTACTGAAAACGAGGCCAACAATCTTAATCCTCAGGGATAACACTGTATCTAATTTCTTACTTAATCTTAAAAGATAGCATTAGGTGGACTGTGAGTTCGATCATCAACATCATCATTACAGCTTCATACGAACCGATACAAATTAGGGACCTTCAAGAAACAAGCTTACTCCTTTTTAAAAGGCCGGGAAAACACCTGCTATTCCTCTGTTGTTGCAGTTGTTCATCGGCGGCGACACTAGGGTTTCCGCCTGTACTATAATAATATATAGTGTCGTACTATATTTTAGTCAATTGTACTATATATTATAGAAAAATAATATAGTACGAAAAATACTATATTTTTATCCCTAATTCAACTATTCTTTATATTGAATCTGATTGGAAGTCTGGAACAGGTAAGTTTTACGGAAATATTTTTTATCGTCATAAATGTAATATTTAATGAAAGAAATAAAGCATATATTCATTTTATTAAAAACGAATTGTTTATTTATTTTATTATGAATCTAAATTGCTCAGACTCCTATAATTATTTACAACGTAATCGATAATTAACGGCCAAACCAAAGAGGAATTACAAATATATATGGATAAATACATAAATATATACGGATGTATAGATAGATAGCTTTTAAGATGAACATGAATAAAACAAAGATCATGTTTAATGTCCATGTCACACCTATGCCGGTCGCTGTTAGGAGCACTAAGTCCGAAGTTGTTGACGAGTACGTTTACCTGGGACAAATAGTCCGACTAGGTAAGTCCAACTTCGACCGAGAGATCAATCGACGGATTCAACTCGGCTGGGCAGCGTTCGGGGAATTACGACACATCTTATCGTCAAGTATACCTCAAAACCTGAAAACTAAGTTGTACAACCAGTGCGTGTTGCCAGTGATGACCTACGGAACCAACGTGGGCCGGGACGCTCAAAGTCGCTCAGCGAGCTATGGAGAGGGCTATGCTCGGAGTTTTTCTTCGTGATAAACTTAGCAATGAGGATATCCACAGTAGAACCGACATAGCCCAACGGATTAGTAAGCTGAAGTAACAATGGGCCGGCCATATAGCTCGAAGATCCGACAACCGTTGGGGAAAAAAGGTTCTCGAGTGGCAGCCTCGTACCGGTAGGCGAAGTGTAGGGCGATCCCCCACTAGATGGAGTGACGACCTAGTAAGACATGCAGGAAGTCGATGGATGCAGTTGGCTCAGGACCGTGCTTTGTGGCATATCTTGGGAGAGGTCTATGCTCAGCAGTGGACTTGTGAAGGGCTGTAATGATGATGATGATGATGAAATACATAAATATTATAAAAAATGTGCAGTTTTTTCTCCTAAATTTCACAAACTACTACATTTTTGCATCTTTTTAGGGAAAAATACTATATTAGTTCAAAAAAGGTGGCAAGCCTACGTGAGCCGGATGGTCGTTTGCCCACTCTTATAGAAAACTAAATAAAACGTCACCCACGTGACGAAACGGGGGCTATCGCACGACAATGTATGCTCACCTCTCCTTTATAGTTGATTGGGATTCCCCCCATGGTGTAATGGACTGTTGGCAGGATCGGCACTGGCTGGGTGTAAACGTCAACTCCGGTAAAGATAAACGCGGTTTCCGAGATGCCAGGCAGTCGTTCTCTTATTACCTCGGGGCTAAGGTGATGAAGTTGCAAGTACAGATGGTCTTTTTTTGGGCCTACGCCGCGACCTGAAAAAATCGAGTTAACTTTGAATGATACTAATTTTACTGAAGAAGAAGAAGAAGAAGAAGGTTACTCGAAACAATTAAACGCGATTTCAAAAAAATTTAACGCGATAAAATCCTCTTTGATATATACGTTATTCTTAAACTATGAAACTCTCCGGTATCACTTTTCACATGGACAAACATGAGAATACGGATTTGAAATTGCGACTCTCAGCAATGCAATTCAATCACATACCCACCCAGCTGTTAAGTAATTTATTTATTTTAATTTCATGTATAGTACTCACAGAAATAGAAGAAATAATTTTAAGAAGTAATTGTGAACCCTATAAATGTAATAAATTTCGCTTTAGCGACAACCCTGAAATTCTATCCTATGCTATACCTTTAAACGAGCTTTAAACTGCTGCAACGATTTTCATAAAATTTTGTTTCAAGGGAGTTTCGGAGGCAATAAATCGATCTAGTTAGGATTTATTTTTAATGTCTTTTTGTCCGTGTTTTCAGGCAATGAAAAACTGCTACAATATAAGAAGGTAAATTTTAACATTGCGTTAATGATCTTAATAGCTCAAGTGGATATCGAGCGGTCGCGAAATCGTAATGCCTTGGTTAGCGTCCCGTCTCCGCTCCAACTTTTTTTTATTCAAGTTCCTTTCTTTTGTGAGAAAATCTATTATTTCGCGCCCTTTTTAAGTATTTTTTAAAAATACGAAAATTTTAATTAAACTAATTGCACTCATGATTTTTTATTCAAATAACCAGTTCAGTTTTTTCTATTGTGTCAATAAGATCAAAAAATATTATTCATCAGTATAAATTTTGTATCTAAATGTAATTAATCATCTGGGTATTGATACAAAAATTTACACGATTTACTATTCATTAGATGAAACTAACTTTTATCGGGTTTAATACACTTCAAGTTAAAGTTACAGCCCACATACCTACGTCCCACTCCTGGACACAGGCCTCCGCTAATTTCTGTGAGGGTTTAAGGATAAGGAACTGTCCGCCGCGCTGTCCCAATGCGTGTTGGCGAACTTCACATGTCTTTGAAATATTTTCCCTTTCTTATTTCTCAGACATGCAGGTTTCCTCACGATGTTTTCTTTCACCGCCGAGCACGTGGTAAATCAGTACTTAAAATTGCAATTAACAATTTCATTGGTGCCCGGGGAATCAACCCGGGTTTGCCCGCGTAATGTGAAATTTACAACAAGCGCTAACCATCTGACCTAACACGGCGCCTCTGAGCTACCACTTAATACACTTAATTTTAATCTGGTTATTGTTTAGGGTTATGACAACGCATTCGCATTTTGTTTCTTAATCCTGGATAGAAATCAGGTCTTCATTAGGCCACAGCATTCACTTACAATCATGTGCGCGTTTCGTCCCTTTACTTGTAAAAATAGAGTATAAAAAACTTAAATAATACAAATAGCCCATGGGCTATTATGATCGTAGAATTTTAGGTCATAGACATTAAGAACGACAACATTGGTTCATAGGTTTTTCATCTGCAACATTTTAAATGCTTTTTGAGAACTATAAAGCGTATGATGAAATATTTTCTCTTTAATATATAAAGTGCAAGCACCGACCTTGACGTATTTCCGTAGCCATAGATCTTGAGACCACGTCCCTACTGGCGAGGTCCTTGGCTTTGGGTGCGTACTTCTCCATAAAGCGCTCACCCTGGCTGTTTATAATGTAACCACCTTCCCCACGACAGCCCTCAGTCATCAGACATCCGGAGCCGTACATGCCTTTAAGATAGAGACGGATTACTAAAGGAACCTAAGCTTAAGGGAAAATGTATGAAAATATTATGGTGCAACAATGTACGGACCAAAAATGTACGGACGGTGTTAAAATATCTACTACCCTATATCATTTGGTGAGGCGAGATTGGCAGCGCCGTCTTTCTAATTAAAAGCTTGTTAACCAAGAAAACTTGTTGTTGAAATCTTTAATAAAAGCCCTGTTACAAAATAAATCAATTATATTAAGTACAAACATATGTGATATAACACTTAATTAGCACTTGCAACAGGGATGGCGATTCTTTCCGAAAAAGATCGATTTTTAAATCGATTCTAATCGAGATCTGATGTATTGATTCACAAAAAATCGAGGTCTAAAAGATCGCTTTCCCAAAAATCGATCTTTTTTCGATTTGCTTTCAGAGTTTATATTTAAAACATCAAAATAAACAAGAAAGTACAAATTACAAACTTAACTTATTTTTTATTTCTATGCATTAAGAAGAGATGAAAGAAACTGAGCACACAGCAGTTTTGCGAGGTTTTGAACAGAAAAACTGTCATTCTTTACGAGTGTGTGTACATTCAACTAATTGTAAATCATTTTACGGATTTTATAAATACAGAAAAAGATTCGATCTCGATTTTCTAGGGTGAAATATCGATTCACTGGATCGATTCAGTATCGATATTTTTGGCACAAGATATCGATTCTTCGATTAATCGATCTCTGATCGCCATCCCTAACTTGCAACAATCACCACACTACGGGGAGTGCTCAAAGGATTTGTTCAGACTGATTCCAGCCAGCAAACTTCACCCATCACACGTCGCGACAAATTTCGCGATACCATCCATATCATCTACCATTACTTAGTCTTAATCTTAATAGCATGCAGATCTATTAAGAAGATGTAATGAGCAGAAATCACTGAGAGAATGACATTACAGAAGAGAGACGTGGTCCTTCACTGCTGGCCCTACCAGGAACCTTAAAGTACCTCAGAAAGCAAAGACAAGGGTTTTTATTGCATGGTATAATTCGTAAAGATGATATCCATAGTAGAGTCAGAGTAACCCACTAGCCCAAATCATCAAAAAGTAACCGCCAAGATAGTGTAGTGAGTCCTCCCTCCCACTATATAGAGTGACATCGATAGGAGATTCAGGAGCCGCATGAATGCATGTGGCTCTATACTATGTTTGAAGGCATTACTTGGAGGACGAGTCAACCACAGGGACTTTTGAAGGGCTGCCATGATAGCAGAACCCCAAATACTTATTAGAATAGTAAACTACGTCAAGGGAAAACTTTTTAAACATACTGCGTCCACAGAAGAGTGTGAGATTTGGCGTAGTTGTATAGAGAAGGAGTGAAGAAAGATAAAATGTATGTATTATACGAGTATGTGTAGCAAAATCCTTAAATTAAATGAAAGAAAACATACATTGTTAATTCTCATACTGTCAGAGTCATACCCATTTGTCGCTTGGACAAATTATGTCGTTTGTTGACTGTTAGAGAATTTAAGTATATTTACATCTCTTTACGTTCATACTTTCATATATTGTAAAGCTACGCTGCAGCTATATTATGATTGTAGCACGAACGGGTCGGCTCGATCGGGGCAGGACCACGCTCTCACAGAACACCAGCGTAAAATAGCAACTTAATACTACTGTGTTTCGTATGGTGAGTATGGAGATACGGAGAGCTTTTTTACTGGAAACAAGGCATTCCATCTTAATCCTCAGGAGTGACAACGTATCCGTTTTTTGATACTTAATCGATGATAAATGTAGATGTTATATCTATGGGCATACACTTACCATCAGGTGGACTGTGTGCTCGTTCGTCATCCTTATTTTATAAAAAAATACTTCGAATGTCTCAGAGTAAGTACTAGTACCAAAGAGTATAATATAATTGCTTCAGACCTAATTATTGAGTTAAATCATATGTTTAGGCTTAATACATCATCATCATCATTACAGCCCTTCACAAGTCCACTGCTGAATATAGGCCTCCCCCAAGTAATGCCACAAAGCACGGTCCTGAGCCACCTGCATCCATCAACTTCCTGCATGTCTTACCACGTCGTCACTCCATCTAGTGTGGGGTCTCGCCTCGTTGGTCTAGTGGTTGTAGTAGTGCTACTGCTGATCATGAGGTCCTGGGTTCAAATCCCGAGTCGGGCCAATAAATTAATTATTGAGTTTTTTCGTCAAGAAATTCTCAGTAGTTGCCCCGGAGTCAGGAAGTTGGCGGTGTCTCACCCCCGTGCCTCGGAAAGCACGTAAAGCAGTTGGTCCTGCGCCTGATCTAGGAATAGAGAGTGCACCTGTGCTTGCGCATACACTTGGGCACTATAATCCTGTCCTGCGCCGATGGCTACCCTCCGTTGTGGCAGGCCGCCGTGGCCGACATTTGGTCTGGAGGACATTATTATTATAGTAGGGGTCCACTCAAGAACCTAAAAAAATAACGAATTACGGTCGAATGTCGCCCACTACGTGACAACGAGTACTACGAGCAAAAGAATTTACCATTCTAAGCCAGCACTTGACTATCTATCCCACCTGATGGAGTGTGAGGTGGAAATGCAGCCGAAGAAACATATCAAAAGCCTCTTCATCCTTGCCTTGAATACATTTACATTTCAATAGGATGAAAAGACATTTGGCAATTTATTCCACTACCTTGCTTGCACGCATAACGAACAATAAAGCAAATGAATTAAATTTATGTGCATCGGTACCGGTGGGATGGAACTGTATAAATTCCAAGTCTTGTAAGGGTATGCCAGCTCTGGAGGCCATGGCGCAACCATCTCCCGTGCATGTATGCGCCGCGGTGCAGGAGAAGTACATCCTTGGGTACCCGCCAGTTGTGACGACAGTGTTCTTCGCCTGGAACCTGTTAAAGGGAAAATATATTTATCTCAAAGGTAGCGGCGCTTATAGGAGAGGCATCGCATCACGTGAATCATTTGGAAGGTGGCTAAGATAAATTCTAGAAAATATAGTTTCGATAGATGATGCTAGTTTAATTTAGTTTACGGCGGGTTATTTTCAGCAACTCCACGTCTAAGAGCATTTTTGTGTGTGGGCAGGAATATTGGGATTAATCGAGCCACGATGAGTGATGTGTTGGCTGCGAGTATGGCCATACAAGTCAGCAGATTGGGATGAGAATCGGCCTTTCTTTGCATCTTATCCTTGGCGGCAGGTCTACTTCTCATCTGAAGATGTTTCGAGCTGCATGGATACCATAACCGATGTGATACATCTCGCAAAGGAGAATATCACCCTCTTCGCTGACGTGCCCATTGGTAGTAAAGCTCGCCCAAGGTTCAACGACGAGTGCGCTCGTGCTGAAAAGCACAAGCATATGGCGTACTTATCTGTATCGAGTCTGATGCTTGAGACTGCAAACCTCCGGATGATAGCCTCAAAAAGAGAGCCTATAACCAAGCCGCCGAGTCTTGCAAAAAGGCATTACGGCAATCCAGTTGCAACCGCATTAAACGCATTGTCAAACCATCTTGCAGTAGACTTTTATGGTCTCTCGCGAAAGCGGTCAAGACAAACTTCTGCCGGTCTACACTGCCTCCGCTGGTAAAACCAGATGGCCCACTGGCGCATGCTCTTAAGGAGAAAGCGGATTTATTTGCTTCTCTTTTTGCTTGCAATTCACGTCTGGTCAGTAGCGACAGCATACCACCTCAATTATCTCACTGCGGCATTTCTATGTCAGAGGTCCGTATCACCAACAAGGAGGTTCTTAAAACCCAGCGAAGTCTAGACGTGAACAAAGTAGACGTGACTAGTGGAGCGGCAAAAAAGAGCCCGTTCAGCATGGCGCCTACTTTCCGCAATGTATCCTTGGAGTACACTGGTCGCTTTCAGTTGTTAAGGTTTGAATTTTTTTATAGAATAAGGGTGATAAACGAGCACACAGTCCACCTGATGGTAAGTAGATGCTGTGACCCATAGACTAGACTAGCTATCTACATTTAACCCCGATTAAGAATTAAAATGCAAATGCGCTGTCACCCCTAAGGACTAAGATGGAATGCCCCAATTCCATTAAAGACGGGTCTCCGGCTCTCTACACTCACCATACGAAACACAGCAGCATTAAGCTACTATTTCACGCTGGTATTCTGTGAGAGCGTGGTCCTTCCCCGGTCGAGCCGACCCATTCGTGCTACAACTATACTATACTACTAATATAACTGCAGCATGGCTCTACCTCGTATAAAACTTCCTATCATGTGGACTTTGTGCCTGTTTGCCACCCTTATTCTATAAAAAAATATTTTTATGGTTATGTCATCACGAGTATTGAAGATACTAGACCTTCCGCTTGATAAAGTGGAATGACCTGGATTAATCTAGAATGTTTTATATTATTATAATATTCTGTGCATGTCCTAGAATGTTCTACAGTTTCGGGAACGTATAAGTAAACTATACTTCAGCAAGTGACTACGAGCAATCGGCGTACGGTATCAGCGATTATTAAGGACCTCACCGAAGAAGCTAGACGATTTTGGATGACGTTATTGTATACTTGCTGTGTGTGAAAGAATTTATTCATCTGCCATCTTAATCGGCATTTTTACTCATCCCGCACAATATAATCATCTCTTGCATAGTTATAGCGTATGATGGCTGGCTAATAGAATATATTATCACCCAACTTCGCACCGTGGGTGGCCTAAAAGCCGTAGTACGATGCTACAACTCGAGAACCATTTTCCCTATCGGTTCTCAATTCTTCGAGCTATATGGTCGGCCCACTGCCACATCAGTTTACTGGTCCGTTGCACTGTCGGTTAATCTGACTCTACTACGGATATCCTCATTATGAAGTCTATCACGCAGAGAAACCCCGATCATAGTCCATTCTATATCTCGTTGAGCGCCTTTGAATTTCCTCGTAAGACCAGCAATCCACGTCTCAAATCAAGCAACACGCACTGGTTAATTTCATATATGAGTAAAAGTAAATAATTTTTTTTAAATGCTTCTTTCTTCGTTTAGATAGTATACCCATTATTTTCACGACGTAAAAAAATATGTCGATGTACTTAGAAATTGATAACTAATTAGGTTGAATCTCAGAGTATAAATAAGCAGTCTATACGTATAAAACACACTTAGGTTTAAAGCAACGAAAAAGCCATCGATTTAGTTAAGTACTGCCGTAATTAAGAAGATAGATTCAAGATTTGTGGCTTCGATTTACATTAGATATCTCTATACTTATGTAAAAACAATTACTACCCGTTAGTCTAGCTAAGCCTCTAAAATAACTCTACTAACATTGTTTAAATACTTTTGGGTGTGTTTAACTGGCGCTGTTGTCGAGGTTGAAGTAACCTATGTACTTGTAGGTGATATTCGATGTATTAGAAAGTAAGCCAGAATTAAATAAACACTCGAGTTGAACAAACGTGTTGATCTTACATCCCATTATAAATATCATAATTCAAGGTCCAGAAGATCGCTAATCTCTGATATATTCTACTTGATTAGAGTATTAAATTGTTTCTAAAGTTACCTATGAAGACTACTATCATCCATATCCATCGCAAGAGCACCGACCACCTCACCATCTTGAACTAGAAGGTCCAGTACGAAGTATTCGTTAAAGAAATTAATGTTCTGGTATTGGGTGCAGTAACCATACAGAGTGTGCAGCAGGGCATGCCCGGTCCTGGAAAATAATGCAGATTACTCCAATTTAATGTCTTGGGCTGCTCCTTCATCTTCTGCATTCTGAATTTTAATCGAGGGTAAATGTAGTTTACTGGGTCACAGTACCAGTTTAACATGGTGGACTATCTGCTCGTTTGTCACCCTCGTTCCCTTAATAATGAAGAGAAGCTTTGACATAACTTTCTTGATAGCTCGCTGAGTGATCTTGAGCTTGCGCATACGGCCAGCAATTAAAAGGACTATATCTCATGCCTTATGTCATTACAGGCAAACATCCTATGTTTATACACTCAGTATAAAACTGGTATAAAGACTTCATTCAACATTTTTTTTATTGTATACGGGTAACAAACAATCACACAGGTCACCTGATGTCAAGTGAGCGCTGTGGCCCATCTACAACTATCCTAGTCAACATGCAGATGCATTACAACCTAAGACTAAGATAACAAGAACTAGAATGCCTCGTTTCCAGAAAAAAGTATCTACGGTTCTCTACACTCTCCATACGAAATGCAGCAGCATTAAACTGCTATTTTACGCTAGTATTCTGTGAGAGCATGATATTTCCCAGATAGACCCGACCCATTCGTGCTACAACTATAGCTGCAGCCTTACTCTACCACGTATATTTTTATGCTGGCAAATTTACAGTGAGCGCTGAACATAACTTTTGAGCTAAACACGCGTCTCTTTAAACATTTTAAAATTATGAAATTTTGTTTCAGAAAATGCGTAGTTGCCTACAATGAAGTCGATCCACGACTTCTTCCACCGCCAGGGTGACAACACTTAAAAAATTTCATGACGGCGTAAGTTAATTTATAAGAAAAGTGTAAAGATAAATGTTTTCTTTCAGAAATTTTAGATATATTGTATATTTATGAAATAAGAAATTGATAAACGAAACTACAGATATTCCTAAAAGTAGGAGAAATTAAAAAAAGCAGTAATTATAAATGTGTAAGAAAATAAATGAGTTCAAATAAGTCATAACTAGCGACATCTGCTGAACGTAAGATTATGAATCCTCAATGGTTATACTCTGAGTTGTGTTAATTCCAATGTCTCTAAAAGTTATGTCAATGGTGGTAAATATAAGATAAATAAATAAAAATATTTTTTATTGAATAGACGCATTGTAGCGTAAACCTAACAATTATTTTCGGATAACATTTTTATTCAATTTCCTACATTAAGAAATTATTCTATCATTTTACCAAAATCGAGTGAAGAGTTCATGCAAATTTCTTTTTCATTATTTAGATTTTAATCAAACTGATATCTAAAATATTGAACCCGCCATTAGGGTTAAATATTATTCCTACTGATTGCGAAAAATATCAATTGCGAAAAGCAACAAACATTTCTTGCTCTGCCATCTTGTGATAAACACAAGAGATATTTATTTAGAACCCCTATATCATATGAGATGTATTTTTCAAGGCGGTCAACAGATGTCACAATAATAAATAAATTATTAAATCAATAATACAAGAAGTACCACTAATAATATTACTAATATAATTTTGTTATTATGGAATTAATGTGACGATATATCATGCGTATTATTATATTCTATTATATCCTCAAAAATGTAACCAGATATGTTTGGCAGGCATGCTCGAGAAGTTATTAGTTGATGGTGTTACACATTGATGTCGTTAAGCGCAGCTTATGTATAACTTTCAAATATTTACTAGATGGCAATAATTTAATGTACACTTAAACTCCTTTTTTATATCGTATTATTACCTTACAATGCCATTTTAACCAGGAAATGCATCCCGGTTTTAACAGAAACATGAAATACTTATGTAACACATTAATTTGAAGTTTGAAGTTTTTCGGAAAGATTTTTCTCCAACAGTTTGTACAAAAAATTACCTGCATAGCAGAACAGATAGAGGTATTTTGTGAAAAAGTCTTGTTGGAGTTCTATATTAACCCGTTAGATGGCGCAGTTTCATTACCCATTGTTTTTCTAACAAGGCACTGATGATGTATTTGCTATCAGCAATGATAATACTTCATTAAATTTACAATTCAAAAATTAAGTATTATATCTTTCATCTCATTACTTAAATATTATTCCTACTATACCTACTATAAGCCAAAAGCCAAATAACTAAAATAATGATTTTTTTATTCACTATAATATACATTGTAGTACCTATATTTCTTTTTTCTTATAATTGCCAACAATTATAGACGGCATGGGACGCCCTAGGCCTGTATCGATCAGATTGGCGATAGGTATATTGAAGATGGGACAAGTTGGGTATTTTTAACCGAGGAGAGGGAGGAATTGTAAAAAAACGTAAGACATCATGATCGTGCTAAATGCAAGTCTCTGGCTACCCCTCTGTGTGACAAAGGTGTGAGTTTATGTAGGTATATATTAAAGAAATATTGTTTATTTGAACATGCTGTATCTGATCCAGCTATTAAAAACATAGGACCTTTACCTATCAGCCACACAACACGTTCTTTTGGCTACCTCCTTTCCGTTCTTGATCGTGCCTCCACCAAAGGACCTCTGATAAATTTTGCCGTCTTGAGTTCGGGAGAAAGGCATTCCCATGTTCTCCAGCTCGAAAACACAGTTGGGTGCTTCGCGAGTAAGGTATTGGATTGAATCCTGTAAGAATATAAAATTACTAGCGGTATGAAAGGCGGTACTTTACGACTTATTCTCATACCTACCAAATATACATAAAAATCATAAAAGATAGTCGAGTTGTTTCTGAGGAGTGCGACCACAAACACTGTGACACGAAATTTTTAAATATTAGATGACTGCTATATGGCGCAGTGACTTAGCGTTGAGCTATGGGTTAAAATTCCGCACACACAAAAGCTACAAATAATTGTTCCGAGTCTGGATGTTTGTCATAATGCAATTTATGCATGTAATCTGCCACCACGGTACAGAAGAAAATTCTATTGTCTCCTACGTTAGGATAACGTTTTTAAAATAATATTTTTAATCATTTGTTCACTATATATTACATATATAATGGACATAATGCTTAATACTTCTTACAACGTGGCTTGATTATCAAGCGAACGGATCGGAAAGACCGGGGAATGCTCCCTTTAGCACGTCCATTTAACCAGGGTTATTTTTATCTCCTCGTAATAATAATAATAATATTTCGAACAAGAAGTATCCAAAATGGTTAGTAAAAAGTTTTTCTTATTTTAAATAAAAAAAAAATACGTGTGGCACTCTGTGACTGCCGCGGTAAAGCTATTGCATAGCATTTTTTATCAACTTATGCAATTATAATTATTTATTTATTTTATTTATGCAGTTAAGTCTTTGATATTAAATCAAGTTACACTTTTTGAGCGTGGTGACCGATAAGAAAACAATTTTTTTTTCTCTTATTGAATAAATGAGAAGTTAATATTGTTTAAAATATTTTTAATATCTTACAATACATGTAGGTTGTTTTATTCGTCAACATTACTCGTCAACAACGTTGTAAAGATTGGGAGTGTGTCGACGAGGGTCGCGTACCTGATACTCAGAATCACCAAACGGTATTCGCTGAAGGTCATACAGGTTTACGCACCAACCTCGGCACATTCCGATGAGGAGGTGGAGGAAATGTATGAGGATATTTCCAAAGCCATGCATTCCTCCAAAACCCACTACACGGTGTTGATGGGAGACTTCAACGCAAAACTAGGCACAAGAGAAAACGGTGAGCTGAAGGCTTAGGGAAATTTGGAGTAGGGCAACGGAACCGAAGGGGCCAGCAGCTGGCCGACTTTATGGAGAAAGAGGGACTCTTTATGATGAACTCTTTCTTCCAGAAGCGGCCCCACAGGAAGTGGACCTGGTCGAGCCCCGACGGTTCGACAAAAAATGAGATTGACTTCATTATGACGACCAGACGCCAACTGTCCAGTGATGTCTCAGTGATCGCAAGCGTGAAAACTGGCAGCGATCACCGAATCGTTAGAGGCACACTGAACCTAAACGTTAAGTTGGAGAGGTCTCGTCTAATGAAGTCAACGCTCCGTCCCCCTCGTGCTCTAATCCAGAATCCCGAAAACTTTCAGCTCGAGTTACACAACCGCTTTCAGTGCCTACAAGATTGCAATGCAGTGGACGATATGAATGACAAGCTCGTGGAAACTGTCCATGCGGTCGGAGCTAAGTTCTGCAAGACCCGCCGCAGAAGAACACAAAAACTCTCCGATCACACTCTTAATCTCATGGCTGTTAGACGGGAGATGAGGCTGCAATCGTCAACAGATTTGACGGCATACAGGCAACTGAACAGACAGATCTCCAAATGCATGCGGCGAGACTTACGCAACTTTAATACTGCTCGTATTAAAGAAGCGATCGAGCGGAACCAGGGCTCCAAAGTCTTTGCCAGAGATCTGTCTGCCCGTAAGAGCCAACTGTCAAAGCTGAAGACTGAGTGTGGCAGCATCGTTTCCGGGACACCTGAGATTTTGAGTGAGATTGAGAGGTTCTATGGGCAGCTGTACACATCATCGTTGGAGCCACACGCAAGTGTGAGTAACGATCCAAGAGCAAGTTTTATCCGAAACTATTCCGATGATATCCCGAACGTCAGTCTAAGCGAGATTAGAATGGCTCTCCAGCACCTTAAAAATGGCAGGGCCCCAGGCGAGGATGGAATTACAGCGGAGCTTCTGAAAGCGGGTGGAACACCGGTACTTGAAGTCCTTCAGAAGCTCTTCAATTCCGTCCTCCATGGTGGCACTACTCCAGAGGCGTGGAGCAGAAGTGCGGTGGTCTTGTTCTTTAAGAAAGGCGACAACGCTCTCTTGAAGAACTACAGACCGATTTCCCTTCTGAGCCGCGTCTACGTGCTGTTTTCGAGAGTCATTACGAATCGTCTCGCACGCAGACTCGACGACTTCCAGCCTCCCGAACAAGCCGCTTTCCGAAAAGGCTTCAGTACCATAGACCACATACATACCCTGCGGCAGATTGTACAGAAGACTGAAGAGTACAATTTGCCACTTTGCCTGGCGTATGTGGACTATGAGAAAGCCTTTGATTCCGTCGAAATTTGGGCGGTGCTGCAGTCCCTTCAGCGGTGCCAAGTTGACTGTCGGTATATCGAAGTGCTGAAGTGTTTGTACAGTAGGGCTACGATGGCTATCCGAGTACAGAACCAGAGCTCGAAACCTATCCAACTGCAGAGAGGTGTAAGACAGGGTGACGTTATATCCCCGAAACTCTTCACCGCTGCTTTGGAAGACGTTTTCAAGCTACTGGACTGGAAAGGATACGGTATTAACATCAATGGCGAGTACATCACTCACCTTCGATTTGCCGACGATATAGTCCTTATGGCAGAATCGCTGGAGGACTTAAGCACTATGCTCAATGACCTCAATAGTGCCTCCCAACGGATAGGTCTTAAGATGAACATGGACAAAACAAAGATAATGTTTAATGTCCATGTCACACCTATGCCGGTAGTTGTTGGGAGCACTATGCTCGAAGTTGTTGACGAGTACGTTTACCTGGGACAAATAGTCCGACTAGGTAAGTCCAACTTCGACCGAGAGGTCAATCGACGGATTCAACTCGGCTGGGCAGCGTTCGGGAAATTACGACACATCTTCTCGTCAGGTGTACCTCAATCTCTGAAAACTAAAGTGTACAACCAGTGCGTGTTGCCAGTGATGACTTACGGATCAGAGACGTGGTCCTTCACTGCTGGCCGTATGAGGACGCTCAAGGTCGCTCAGCGAGCTATGGAGAGGGCTATGCTCGGAGTTTCTCTGCGTGATAGACTCAGAAATGAGGATATCCGCCGTAAAACCAGAGTGACCGACATAGCCCAACGGATTAGTAAGCTGAAGTGGCAATGGGCCGGCCATATAGCTCGAAGAACCGATAACCGATGGGGAAGAAAGGTTCTCGAGTGGCAGCCTCGTACCGGTAGGCGTAGTGTAGGGCGACCCCCACTAGATGGAGTGACGACCTGGTAAGGTATGCAGGAAGTCGATGGATGCAGGTGGCTCAGGACCGTGCTTTGTGGCATTACTTGGGGAAGGCCTATGTTCAGCAGTGGACTTGTGAAGGGCTGTAATGATGATGATGATGATGATGTAGGTTATTCAGGAATTCTTATCATTGATAAGCAGCTAGTGTACACGCATACGTCTAGTCGCACGCACACAAACACCGTGCCGAAGTCTGCCGAGTGCCGAAGTCTGCCGAACTGAAAAGACGATGCACGGCTTTCAACGCCACACCTCCGTGCCCGTCGGAGTGGGGAGCGTGAGGTTTTTTTTCGTTACGGAATTTCTGGATTCGGTCCCCGTGCTCAAGGCCCGCGATAGAAGCTATGCAATAGCTTAAAAATTAAATTTAGATCTTAAAAAGAAGTTCCAGCTTTGGGTCTTCGATTCTTTACACTCACCATACGAAACACAGCATTAGTAAGCTGCTATTTTTCGCTGATATTTTGTGAGATAGTGGTCCAAACCCGCTCTACCACGTATAAAAAGGTATTTAGGCTTCCGTTATTATCTCTGTGCTGCCATGTACGCACCGAAGTAGTGATAGTATTGCTCGTGGTAATGCAAGGAATTATACAGCTCCTTAAGCGTGGTTGAGTCACAAACATCTAAAGATCTTTTCACACTTTCACATTTTAAAAATTACAACAATCAACCTAAAGTTGACAGCTTTTATGATTAAAATGGAATGCTTCGTCAGCAGTTAAAGGATCTCTAGTACTTCTCCGACAGAGCCGTGATTTTTACCGCTACCGCCTAAAATCTACCGCTTAATATACTATACATAGATAATATACATAGATTGCCATATAGGGGTATATTTGCCATTGTTGCTACGCTCTGCAAGTGAATTGGCATGGAAACGCAGTTTTTAAATTTTTGTTAGTATAACGTTCAAGATCTACCGGTTAGTTTCATTCTGTCGCCTCTCACGACACCGACAATGTGACATGGGTGTAGTAGAAATTCTTGCACCGCCACTACACGTTTATCACGCACCTACACGAGAAATAAAATGGAAAAACCTTACTAAATAAACACATTTAACAAAGGAATGAACGAACGATCTTAATAATGTTTCAAAATACCTGATCGCCCAACCAATCCGAACCTTTGACTGTATCATAGAAGTGCCATCGCCAGTCATCTTCATGCATGCTTCCTGTAATCAATTCATTGTCATTATTTTCATTTATATACAACATATCAAACGCGGATTGCCGAACATACACATAGACCTCTCTCGTATCTCTGTGGATTTGAGTTTGTGATGCTAAGCTAGGCAACCGTGTTGACAAACACAGTTCTTTATTATAGACATTTATTACCTAGCCCCTCAATCGCCATGAATTTCCAAGCTGTCGCATGCGTCAGTCAAATCCCGAGCGGTCGCATGCGACCGCACCCACCCACAGCACTTTAAACCATAAACACTTATATTTAGAGACGACTTTTCTATGAAGAAGTTTAGCATTACAGAATCTATTTAAAATTCTTTATCCTATAGTCTAAACAAAAGTCAGTTATTCAATGGATTTTCATTTTTTAGGTCACAGCGACCGCACCCACCCACAGCACTTTAAACCATAAACACTTATATTTAGAGACGCTTTTCGATAGCATATTGAATCTATTTAAAATTCTTTATCCTATAGTCTAAACAAGTATCAAATTCATTTTTTAAAGTGACCACCAAGCACTTTAAACCATAAAAACTTATTTTTAAGACTACTTTTCTATGAAGAGGTTAGGCATTATAGAAGCCATACGATATTCTCTATCCTGTGGTCTGAATAAATCAGTTACTCTATGGATTTTTATTTTTAATCTATCGTAAAATTGCGCCATATTCGTATGGTTGGCACATAGCCCAAATTGACAGTAGAATAAAAATAAAATTGCATAGAGTAACTAACTTTTGTTTATTCTAAATCTAAATTGTATAGATTCTGTAATGATAAACTTCTTCGTAGAAAAGGGTCTCTAAAAATAAGTTTTTATGGTTTAAAATGCTGTGGGTGGGTTAAAATGGTGCGGTTTCATGAGACCGCTAGGGGATAAAGGGGCTAGAAGATACAGATTTCCTTTTTCGCCATATTATAAGACACTCACGGGATTTACCTCTTGCCATATATAACGAAATATCACTGATTCACTCACACATCACGAGATCTCCAAAACTATATGTCCGATTGACTTCAAATTTGGCATATAAACTCGTTTTACGACGTACGCTGCCATTAAGAAAGGATTTTGAAATAATCGACTTATCTGTCTGTGTATGTGTTTGACCCCCCCATGTCTAGGAAAGCCGTTAGTCCTGCACCTGACCTCTCCCCTGTCGTGTCAGATTACCGTCCCACTGTACTAGTGAGGGAATAGAGTGCCTGCGCATACGCTCGTGCACTATAATCTAGTCTTGCGCAGATGACTAGTCTGCTGCGCAGAAGTCTCCGTTGAGACTGTGGCCATCTGCATACAATTCGGTATGGAGGGCGTTATAATAATTATTATAACTAAATAGGTAGTACTGGAGTAGTTGAGAGTATTTTCTAACACTAGACTTATGTTTTATTCCTTTATGTTATATTAACGTTAGCAACTTAGAAATAGCCAAAAGTAATATATTCTGTGCCCAAAGCCAACCCATCTGCACAATACCCATAATCTACTTAGCATTTAGTTGAACATTTAATATTAAATTTCTCTCCTAAAAATTTAATACCCAAGGATATGATTGTCTTGCAGCTCATTTTAAACATCTTTATTAATCAACATTAGCAGGCAGTCCGTTAGTTTTCTCCAAAATAATAAAATATTATATTAAAGAATGTCGATATCAGGCAATGATATTTTTTAATCGCAAATTTTGCTTTCCTTTTCTTATAAGTTTACAAATTATCGTGGAGCAGTACGACAGCGCTCATTCTCTTCTGCTTCGTACGTTGGTTGTAATTACAAGGTAATAATAACAGAATATATTACCTTGTAATATAGGTAGGTATATTACAAGGTAATATATTCTGTTATATAGGTATACAATTGTATAATATAAAGTAATAAGATTAGAATGTTCAAGAGGGTTTTAGGTAGGAATGCCAGGTCGGAAGACAAAAATTTTTTTTTTTATAGGACAGGGTGACAAACGAGCACACAGTCCACCTGATGGTAAGTGGTTGCTGTGGCCCATAGACATCTACATCTATCCTCGATTACGAATCAAAATGCAGATGCGTTGTCACCCGTGAGGACTAAGATGGAATGCCTCGTTTCCAGTAAAGAGGGTCTCCGGTTCTCTACACTCACCATACGAAATACAGCAGCATTAAGCTACTATTTCACGCTGGTATTCTGTGAGAGCGTGGTCCTTCCCCGGTCGAGCCGACCCATTCGTGCTACAACTATACTACTAATATAACTGCAGCATGGCTCTACCACGTATAAATGCCACGTATAAATATGGACAAAAATTGAAAAAGTCGGGATTTTGGAGTTGTTGTCGGGAGAAACAAATATTAAAAACAAAAATATAATAATAAAAAAATTATAAATAAAAACTATATTTTTTAAATTAAAAGACACATAACTAATTTAAGTACACTTAATGTTTAGGTTACCACATGTATTTGATATTGGACTTTACCGACTCCATCAAATTAGGTACATCCTTTAGTAGTATTAAGAAAAGATTTAAAATTCAAACAATTTAGTTTAAGCTAGTTACGAACTCAGTTTTTACTAAATCAAAGGCAGCTGTAGTGTGAAAAGTTGTTTGTGTGGAGATTTTGGGTTTTGTCGGGAGTCTGGAGATCATTTAAAATTGTGGGAGAATCCAGACGAATCTGGACCATGTGACAACCCTAGTTTTAGGGCAAGGAATTGTCCGCCGCGCTACTCCAATTCGGAGAAGCTTGAAACAGACGAAAAGAAGGGGGAACCCCCACAGGTGTGCCCCCCCCCCCCTTCCAGGCCTACCCCGCCAAGAAAAAAAAGGCAAAAAAACAAAAGAAAAATAATAAAAAAAAAAAAACACACACCCACACCACCCCTTATATTCAAATAACAAAATGGAATAATGGTGACAAACGAGTTCACAGTCCACCCAATGGTCGATTTACAAATAAAACTTAAATGTTTCATCGCCTGACTAAGATATATAATGCCTCATTATTGGTAAAAGGGGGTTCTGGTTCTGTAAACTCATTATATGAAGCACAGAAGCATTAAGCTGCTGGCTCGAGAACGTGATCCTTCCCCGGTCGAACCGACCTCTTCTTGCCGCAACCATACTGGAATGATATTTTTGAATGCAGTAAAAAGAACGCAGAAGTGAAAGATCGATACCGATATATGTTAGAGGGAGAGAAGAGACGTCTGGCGATTTTGTGAAGACTCATAAGGCAAGGACGTGTAAAGTTGGATAAAAAGCGAGTTGTAACAAAACCTAGGAATTATTTTGAAGATCAAGGCGTTTCCGCTAATTTCGAATACCACACAGATAGAAAAATGTATCATTATAGTAACTGGACTTAGTATAAAGTTACGTACCTATCGAAGCATTCATGCCACCCTGCGCAGCGATGGTATGTGACCTGGTGGGGAAGAGTTTGGAAACGAGCGCAACAGAGAAATTCTGCTGAGCGAGTCCAAGGGAAGCACGCAGCCCTGCGCCTCCAGCACCGATCACCAGGCAGTCGTGTTGATGATGATGAATCTCGTATGCCTTGCCGCAGCTTTGAACTATCGATCAGTGATTTATGTTTTAAAGTTGAGTTACGGCAGAGTGAATGAAAATACGAGGGTTACATACAACCGTTTCACACGCACACAAGAGAGCGGTTCACCTACACTAGCAAACAGAGAATATAACACGATGCCCGTGAAGGTCGTACTAAATATTGTGTTAAGCTGAACGTACATTTGTCAGCGCCATACGCGTCGCATTTTCGGAAGGCCTCGCACATTAGCATGTTGTAATATAAGTACTGCTTATTGTAAAAGAAAGAAGAAAATAAAATTCGAAGAAAAAGAAGATTTTGGACTCATAATATGAATTTAAAAAGGCAGTTCTAAGGAAAATATTATACTTTACTTAAAGATATATTACATAATGATGAACGATTTTTCAGATTTGCATTTAACGTACAAGTAATATACTACTAAACAACTGCTACATATACTAAATCCATGCTTCTCTATGGAAAATACAAGATTTAAAAGGCAAATTGAACTAGAGGAAAGACTTGTTTTATGTTAGGGGTAAGTATTTTTATTCATAATTATATATTTTGTGTAATTACGGTTTTGAATTAAAATTAGGTACCAATTTTTGTTGTATATAAATTATTATTTCTCTAAGTATTTATATTGATAGTTTATGATTTTTTTTTTTCAAATTATTATAATATATATAAATAATTATGTATAAGTTAAAAAAAGTCTTGTATGACGACTCATTGTTGTCTACAAAGTAAAGGTAAATGCTCCTGAAACGAACTAAAAATATAAGTATTTAGAAACGAAAGTCGAAACCACCAGTTTAGTGTAAAATCCACTAAGTGACCAATCCAATAAGGACGCATGCTGATGACTGTCTAATGTTGCCTCATTAGACAGACATCACCATGCGTCCTTCAATATTCGGATACCTACCGCATTTTATAAAATGCTGCGCGGATGATGCTGTTGTAATGTGCGAGGTTTCATATGATTTCATTCAACGCATTCTAAAATGTGGCGCGTACCGTGCTGAAAAACTGCGTTAAGCTTTACTTTATCTGTTGCAACGCGCGTGTGTGTGCGAAACGCGCTTATATGAAGCTTCCATACTTTCGTTTACAGACATTAACTAATAAACTTATTACAATATTTTTCTTATGATTTGAAACTGTCGCAATGTACAGTTGCGAAATTTCAAATCCATAAAAGAAAAAATATTGCTAATATCTTCTTTAACGAGTCTGTAGTCTGTACATTTAATTATTACAACTTCCTTTTTAAAAATCTTTGACAGTCTAAGTACACTATATTCCTCATCTTCTTTGTTTAAGTAGAGAGTTATGCTCAGTGGTTTTATTAAAGTTTCCTTCGAACTGGTATATCTTCTGACACGATTTGAAAGATTTTGGAACTGAGCCTGACATTGTACTTATATGCT